GTAACCCGCACAACGTCATCAATAGTTGATAATGTATTTGTCAATTTTACAGAGTGTGACTGCTCCGTAGTTAACTTTGAACTGTCTGACCACTATGGTCAAATTATAAATATTACTACCTCTGAAATTAAATCCCAACAAAAAACCATAACCTATAAATGGATTATTTCTATTGATAAGTTAACCATGTATCGAGAGGAATTACAAAAAGTTGATTGGTCATACGTATACGTAGAATCTAATCCAAATACTGCAAATAACATTTTTTATAACATTATTTATTCCCTTTTTAATTGCATATTTCCAGTTAAACGTCTAGCAACAAAATCAAACAATACAAATAGTTGGATAACAAATGGTATAAAAAAGTAATGTTAAAGAAAACGTGAACTGCGTCATTTAAAACTTCAAGGCTTTATCGATAAGGATTATTATAACTATGGCTGCAGTGTTGAAAAATGTCATAGTGGATGCAAAAAGAATGAGTAACGCAGCGATGATTAAAAACTCTAGAAATAAAAGTAAAACTATATATACTCAAAAACATGTCTTGGATTGTAATTTTTTGTAGAGAAATAATAAGGATTTTGCAATTAAATTCCGTTTATTTGACTCTTGACGATTAAAAAAAGGTCATCACAATTGAGAGAGGGCGGGCAGGGGGGGCTTATATTTTGCCTTTTTTTTAATATACATAGTCGTTTTTTCAGAACAAGAAACTCAAAACATGTTTAAAATGGTAAATTCTTCTAGATAAATATGGATCTTCTTGCAATTAAGCCCCGCCCCTCGATCTGACAACAAATGAAAAATTCATCACAATTGAGAATTGAGATCGGGGCGGGTATGGATAGAGCCTCATCTTTGGCTTTATTTTTCTTAACATACATAGTATTCTTTGGACAACATGATACTCAAAACATGTTTTTAATTTATCGTAGAGAAATAAGGATTTTGCAGTTAAACTCCGCCTTCTTGGCTTGCGACGAATAAAAAAATCATCACAATTGAGATGAGGCGGGTGGGCGGGGCTACATTTTGCCTTTTTTTCTTAATATGTGTAGACTTATTTCGACAACAAGAAAATTAAAACATGTCTAAAATGATAAATTTTTCTAGTATTCAACTTAAATCCGCCACTTTGTATAACACGAATACTTAAGAACATGTTTCACATGGTAATATTGTCTCGTAGAAAAATAAAAATTTCACAATTAAGCTCCACTCCTCGGCTTACGACGAATAAAAAAAATCATCAGAATTGAAATAGGGTGGGTTTGCGGGGCTTATATTTTGTTTTTTTTTCTTAATATCATAGCCATATATAAAATATTATGTAGTTAAAATAGTATATTTTTTTGAAAAAATATGGATTTTGCAATTATAGGGCGAAGCCTAATTGCAAAATCGATATTTTCTTATACAAATTTTCCATTTTAAACATGTTTTAAGTTTCGGGTTGTAAAAAAAAGTCTACAGATATTAAAACAAAAAAACATAATACAAATATCTGCCTCGATTTATGTTTATAATTTATAAATCTCTTATTAAATGTTTTTGATTAATAACTACTGGTTGTTATTGCCCTAAAAAAAATTAAAAGGTGGATTTCAGTCACAATCGTTACTAAGAAATCAGGAAATAAGCCGGAGGTAGATAGTGGAAAAAAACCTAATTTTATAAGAGTAAAATTGGTAACATTGCACGTATCTAATGCGTGAATACCTCCAGCTAGTAGACATTAATCGTGATAAGATAAAACTGATTTTGGCAAATGATACATCCTTTAAGAAACGAGAGGGTGGGTGGGCGGGGCTACTACCTGCTAAGATAAAAGTGATTTTGGCAGATGAGATATCCTCTAAGAAAAGAGAGGGTGGGTGGGAGGGGCTGTTACCTGCTAAGATAAGACGGATTTCAGCAAATGACGTATCCTCTAAGAAATTTAATTAAATTATTATAAAAAAAAGATACTAGAGACTCCAAAGCACTTTCAAATTCTTTCCCCATAGGAATACCTAGAACATAAAAAAACGGAGTCCCAAAATTAACTCAAAAACAGGTCAGGTCCGAATTTTCCAAAAATACTTAGAAAACCAAACTGCCCCAAAATTCTTTTAAATATGTCATTTGCCAAAATCGGTCTTGTTTCAGCAGGTACTAGCCCCGCCCACCCACCCTCTCTTTTCTTAGAAGGTATGTCATTTACCAAAAACAGCTTTGTCTTAGCAAGTACTAGTCCCGCCCACCCATCCTCTCTTTTCTTAGAAGGTATCTCATCTGCCAAAATCACTGTTATCTTAGCAGATATTAGCCCCGCCCACCCACCCTCTCTTTTCTTAGAGGTTATCTCATTTGCAAAAGTTAGTTTTATCGTAGCAGGGGAAGGTGGGCGGGGCTAGTATTTGGTAAGAAAAGGCGGATTTTGGCAAATGACATATCTTCCAAGAAAACAGAGGGTGGGTGGGCGGGGCTAATACCTGCTAAGATAAGAGTGATTTTGGCAAATAACATACCTTCTAAGAAAAGAGAGGGTGGGTGGGCGGTGCTAAGATAAGACGGATTTTAGCAAATGACGTATCCTCTAAGAAATTTAATTAAAGCATTATTAAAAAGACACTAGAGACTCCAAAGCACTTTCAAATTCTTTCCCCACAGGAATACCTAGAACATAAAAAAACGGTGTCCCAAAATTAACTCAAAGACAGGTCAGGGTAGAATTTTCCAAAAATACTTAAATCACCAAACTGCCCCAAAATTCTTTTAAATATGTTATTTGCCAAAATCGATCTTGTCTTGGCAGGTACTAGCCCCGCCCACCCACCCTCTCTTTTCTTAGAAGGTATGTTATTTGCCAAAAACAGCTTTGTCTTAGCAAGTACTAGCCCCGCCCACCCACCCTCTCTTTTCTTAGAAGGTATATCATTTGCCAAAATCACTCTTATCTTAGGAGATACTAGCACCGCCCACCCACCCTCTCTTTTCTTAGAAGGTATATCATTTGCCAAAATCACTCTTATCTTAGCAAGTACTAGCCCCGCCCACCCGCCCTCTCTTTTTTTAGGGGTTATCCCATTTGCCAAAGTTAGTTTTATCGTAGCAGGGGAAGGTGGGCGGGGCTAGTATTTGGTAAGAAAAGACGGATTTTGGCAAATGACATATCTTCCAAGAAAACAGAGGGTGGGTGGGCGGGGCTAATACCTCCTAAGATAAGACTGATTTTAGCAAATGACGTATCCTCTAAGAAATTTAATTAAATTATTATAAAAAAAGACACTAGAGACTCCAAAGCACTTTCAAATTCTTTCCCCACAGGAATACCTAGAACATAAAAAAACGGAGTCCCAAAATTAACTCAAAGACAGGTCAGGTTAGAATTTTCCAAAAATACTAAGAACACCAAACTACCCCAAAATTATTTTAAATATGTCATTTGCCAAAATCGGTCTTGTTTTAGCAAGTACTAGCCCCGTTTACCCACTATCCCTTTTCTTAAAGGATATCTCATCTACCAAAATCACTTTTATCTTAGCAGGTACTAGCCCCGCCCACCCACCCTCTCTTTTCTTAGAGGGTATCTCATCTGCCAAAATCAGTTTTATCTTAGGAGGTAGTAGCAACGCCCACCCACCCTCTATTTTCTTAGAAGTTATTTCATTTGTCAACGTCAGTTTTATCTTAGCAGTGGAGGGTGGGCGGGGCTAGTACTTGATGAGTTACGACTGATTTTGGCAAATAACATATCATCTAAGAAAAGAGAGGGTGGGTGGGCGGGGCTAATACCTGCCAAGATAATAGTGATTTTGGCAAATGACATATCCTCTAGGAAAATAGGGGGCGGGTGGGCGGTTCTAGTATTTGTTAAGATAAAACTGATTTTGCCCCTACCATTCTTGTAAAAACTTGTGAAATTTAAAAGTGTTAAATTACAAACTTCTATAGTAACGAGTTAAATTTTGAAATCTACGGGAAATGGGCAAAATACTTTTCCTCGACTCGGACATAGCAAAAAAATGTCTGCATTACGTTATAACAGATATATTTGAATAAAAAGATTGGTGGTAATTACTTCGATTTTGACAATATTTTGAGAAAAAATCATTAGTCTTCTTTGAAGAACTTTTTTTTAATAATATTTTTCTATTTTTTATAGACTGCATTTTCAGAAAAGCTTATATTGTTAGAATTAATTTCAAGTGAAATAGGATTTTGATAAACACAATAAAATTATTATCCGTTTCAAAATTCAGTCATTGCAAAAAAAATCTCAACGTCTTCGTCACGTTATGTAGGGACTCTGTCAAAAAATTCCTGAGTGATCGTCATACTATTAGATCCAACAGATAACGCATTATTTATAAATTTGAGTAGAATAATAACTTTGAAGAACATGATTTTTTTGTTTATTTTTTTGGACTGTATTTTCAGATAGCATGTTTTGTTAGAATTAATTTCATTTAAAAAACGACAAAATTATTATCTTTTTGAAAATTCGTATTTATTTTCGAAAATCTGCATCGATTCCCCTCTACTTCTCCTATGGACATACCAAAAACACTCAGCCTTTTCGTCGCATTATTACCTCCATCAGGTAAAACCCAATTGCAGTTGAGCAACAAAATTACTTTAATTATATATTTCTATCATAACGATATTTTCCGACAAATCCATAACTTCCTTTGCGGCATATTTGTTTATTATTTTTTTTAACCAACGGTATTTTCTGATAAGCGTGGAATGTCGACATTCATTTTAACAAAAACACCAACTGGCGCCAATTTTCGAACCCCTGCACCGATTCCCCTCTTCTTCCCAACCAAGTACCAAAACCCCAAATCATCTTCGTCACTTTATCACCCCAGATAACACCCATAAACTTGAGCAAACACCGCCCGAAAACCTCGCCACACCTCCGTCCCGATTCGAGCCCGCGCGAAAATCTACACCATTTTCAAAATCCCTCCTCTCAAAGTGCGTATTGTTGTCGGCGCTTTTATTTAAGTGTCCCGAGCCAGCCGCCTCGATTCATTCAGTTCCACTCCTGACCGACATTCAAATCTCCCAGAGATTTTGTTTGATTGACACTGCACTCGCAAACTAGTTTACTTGTACTGTGTCGTCGATTCGTTACACATATTGTGAACAGTGTAGAAAAACTCGGTGCTCTCGTTTCAAAACCGCTGCAATGGCGAGCAAGGAGGCGAAAGGTAAGGGATTTGTGCGTTTTGTCGGGATGAGGGGAATCGCCACAAAGGCGAAACGACACCCTTAACAAATTTTTTTTTTATTATTAGTAAGTCGAAGTAAAATTGGACGTTGGTAGAACATTTACGTATTTCGATACGTTATCGCTAAATTCCAGGGCCTGTAGCACTTAAACTGTTAATTATTCGGATGTAATTGATTGGGTGATAATCGTGATAAGTGAATTATGCGACAAAAAAACGGGCTTTTTTCGTGTTCGCTTTAATGATAATTGAGTGATACATGATGTACACTTAAGGTGGCACTCGACGGGACATTTTTAGAACAATTTGTTTGATATCACTGGAATTGTTTTATTAGGGATGTTAACACCGTTTTTTCTACGAACGTGATTATTTAATCCGCACGGTTTGTTTAGTTTGCCGGTTTTACTTTTTCTATTTATTGCCCCAAATCTGAGTTAAGTCGACTCGTTATCTGCGTAATTATTTTTAACTTTCGGATGCACTAATTAAGTATATAAAAACAACAACAATAAAAACAATAAGTGATGACGTCGTCCAAGAGATTGTTTTTTCGTTTCTTATTTCCATGATCTGACACGCATCGAGATAAAGTCGAGATTTAGTGCTCCTCGAATTACGGAATTATTATTTTTATGACAAAGTAACAATTGTTGACGCACACTACTTAAAATCGTGTCAATCTGTCCTTGATCTCATCAAATCGATAATCACATAATACTTACTTAAGATAAAATTTTTTATTAGTAACTACCGTATTTGTGACACTAGATAAAGCGAATCCTCTCACAATTCCAGCGATAAGCTGAAAGTAGTTTAAAGGAAAAAACAAACAACAAGTGAAATGAGAAATGCGAAAGAGAGCGTGAAGAAAATAAAAGAAACTTGAAAGCTTTCATCGCGATTGTTCCGATCAATGAAGCGTTCGTACGCCTGTAATCTCGACACAATTTGCATTAATTAGGGTTTCCATACCTATTGTACTTTCTAAGAGAAATGTAATTAATTTAGCGGATTAAACTTGAAATGTAACAAGTCCTTGTGCAAGAGATTGGCACCGATTTCATTCACCGATAATTCATTATGTAAATAAACCTCGTGTTGTGGTTTTTCAGGGAGCGAAGGCATCTTGGGACTGTCCGAAATCACCGAAAACAAGTCAATATGGCGGATGTTGCTAGCCGAGTTCCTCGGGACGTTTCTTCTAGTCTGCGTGGGCTGTGGTTCTATAGTGCTAGGGGACTTCAGCGTCGTCCGAATCGGACTGACTTTCGGAATCACAGTGGCCACGCTAGCGCAAGTGAGTGATGCGGCAGTGAACTTGATTATTAAATTATTTTCAAAATTGCGATTTATATCTGCTAGGAAAGCGATCTAGAGCACCGGCTTGCGAAACCGACCGGAGTGATTGTGTGGACCGCTTTTCTCGCCAAGCGGCTAGTCCGTGCGAGAAAAAGAGGGAACTCGCTACGGATAAATTTTAGTTTTTGTAGCGATTCCCCTCTTCTCACCTACACTAATCTAATAATAGCTCTTTGACAACAATACACGTAACAATATTGAAGAATCGTAATTTATAGCTGTATTCAAATGTCAGGTCAGTGCAGATCAAGGCTGCTCTTTCCCAAAGAATGTAACAATTACTCATTTTTGCCAAGACGCAATAAAATCATCCTTATCTGGTCTATTTACAAAAGTGACATTAATTCGGCATGTCGTGAATTTTTATTCGGGTTTGTGACGACCACAACAGTGAAATCATCAACCATGACCTCTCTTAAATCTAAACTTGTCACTGCACAAAAACGTCTACACCTATTATCCGCTACACAAAAAATTAAATCTGACATTTACAGGTTTTAATAATGGGGTCGTCGTTGCACGCTTTATGAAATGTTATAGATAATATTCTCGATATACTATAATGGGTGGGCTGAACAAACACGGTAATTGAAAACTGTGGCCAGAATTTTAATTGAGTCAAGTCGTCGGAGTGCGCTACAACTACTTTGTTTCATGATTTGCGCTTTTCGGACCTTTTGCACTATTGTGTTTGTTTTGTTGATGTCATTTGATAGGCAAATATTGCGAAAGGTCACTGGACCACAGCTCCCAAAATCGATAACTGATCCGTGTAGACAATTATCTGATAACGCTTTAAATATCAAGTCCCGTTGCCGAGAAGAGGGGAGTCGCTGCAGCGAGTCCCCTCTGCCGCACTAATCGAATGTAGATAAATTTGCGCTGCGCCTTTAGAATAATGCTTTAATTGTTGTAATGTGGACTCATAACTCATTGATCTCCCTGTAGTGGGACGGGTCCAAGGTAAAAAGTTTCATAACGTTATGGCACAGATTCGGGTAGAGTAGGTGTCTCGGGTTTGGCCGGGGGCTAGTGCGAATAAGACAGACATTCGGGCACCAGAAGAAAGCACGATAGGTAAAATTTTAAAATCACTTAAGCCCGATTTTGCAACTCCGCTGCAATTTTTTCCCATTTAAGGGTATGCCCGTTTTAATTATTACTTACATCGAGAATTATTACTTTCCATTTCCACATCCTCATTACGACTACGTATCTAACGTGCAAAATCTATTAATGTGCTAAGTATCGCATATGACCGAATTTATAAAGTTGAAGGCCATGAGAACTTAAATTAAATCGTGCGTGTTAGCTGTCAAACGAATTGTAATTAACTTTAGGGTATATAGGTAATGGTTTCATCACTGCTGAGTGGCGGATGTGATGCAAATGATCTTCGATGACGGAAAAAACTAAGTACGTGAAAATATAGCTAAGTTCGGAAGAGGGGACTCGCCGAAATTTGTGGCGATTCCCTTCTATTTTTTTGCACCGACATAGCGATCGACGAAAATTGGGTATAAATAAACTAGTAGCGTCTGTTTTGTAACGCTGCGCAACGACTTGTTCATGAAACGGTAAAAGGATGCCGCGAAGAATACAGTGTGCTTGAGGCGCTTGTTTGCGGACGTTCACATTCAAGAATCACCAGAGGCGATATAGTATATGTTCCATTTTTTAATAACCGATTTTCGACGAAATTAACGATGTTGCAAAAGTACCGAAAGTTGTAATTAATGGAATGGAGGATGACGTCGGTTTGTGGATACAGTGCACATGATCTGTTATCTGCGTTATCACTGCACCTAATTAAACAGTAATTGTATAATATAAAATCTCCTTGTATTGTTCTTGATAAATATTATTTAATTAGGTATTTAATTTTTGCTTCTCGAACGTAAGCTAAAAAGTGTTGTAATCGACTGGTTACTTTTTGCTTTTACGACGTTTCATGACCCTTAGAGTTCGAAAAAATAGGTCTCCCGTTAAACGTCATTACCAAAATTTACATCAGTATATATTATTTCAATTTAATCAAAATTTATTCGTTTATCCTCTTACAAAAAATGATGACGTCATTTAAAAAGTTTGCCTAATAAATTTTCTCTGAAATATGCAAAATATTATTACACTAAATTTGCGGTTTTTCGAAAAATCTGGATTTTTTTGATACAATAATTTTTTGTTTTTCCTTTTTCTTGCAATTTTTCGACATTGCAAGCTTTGTTTTTCTTATTTTCTTTCATGTTTCAATTTTTCTATTTTTCGATGTTTCGGTTTCATGATTTTTCGTTTATCCGATTTAATTTCTTCAGTTGTGCGATTTTTGGATTTTACAATATTCCATTTATACGATGTTGCAATTTTTCGGTTATTAATCTTTAGATTTTTCTTTATTTCTTCAATTTTTGAGTTTTTAGATTGTTCAAAGTTTTTTTTATAATTTCATTTTTGATTTCCCGGTTTTACAGTTTTGCAATGTTTCCATTTTTTTGATTCAAAAAGCTGAAAAATCGAACAACTAAAAAATCAGGAAAAATTGAAAAACTGAAATAACGAGAAATTGCAAAATTAAAAAATTGCAATTCGAAGAACTGAAGAATCGAAAAATTGATACATATATAGAAAAACTAAAAATTGAGGAACTTAAAAAAAGAAAAAATTCAATTTTTCCAAGATTGATTTTCCAAAGAGTTTTCTATTTTATGTCAAGACTAAGAGTTTCTTTTTACAATCCACGTTTCCTTTAAATTTCCAAAAATTTTTCAATTTCTGGACTTTTAATTTTCTAAGTTTTTGATGTTTCAATTTTATTTTCAATTTCTTAATTTCTCAAATTTTTGATTTTGTAATATTTTGATTTCACAATTTCCCGTTTTTAGGATTTTTCGAAATTTCAATTTTCCAATTTTGAAATTTCTCTTTTCTCATTCATCCTAAATTTCAATTTTTCGATTTTTCAGTTTTTCTATTTAACGATTTCAATTCTCGACTTTTACTTTTTAATTTTTTTGTGTTTCAATTTTTTTTTAATTTTATTTTTTGTACTTTTTCTATTTCTCATGTAACCTACTTTTCAATTTTTCGATTTTTCAATTTTTACAATTGTTCGACTTCTAATTAATGTTGGAGTTTTTCTATTTTCAAAATTTTGCAATTTTTCAACCATTCGACTTCAATTTTTTGATAGTTCGCTGTTTTTTCAAAGTTTCGATTTAACAATTTTTCGTTTTTAATTTTGGATTTTCAATTTCTTAATATTTTTTAGAATTTTTTGGTTTCTTTTCTTGTTTTTTCGATATTTATTTTTTTTTCATTTTTAGATTCTTCAATTTTCTATTTTTTTCAATATTTTGATTACTCAGTTTATAGATTTTGTAATTTTACGCTTTCTTAATCTTGAAATTGTTCGACTTGCAGTTTTTCAAATTTTTCGATTTTTATATTGTTTACTTTTTCGATTTGTTAATTAATTTTACATTTTTTTTTTAAATTCCGATTTTATAATTTTCCGTTTTTCAATTTTTGTTTTTCCAATTTTCTGTTTTTCGATTTTTCAATTTTACAATTTTGCGAATTTCAATTTGTCGGTTATCCGATTTTTCGATTCTTAACAATAGAATTTTTCAGTTTTCGATTTTACAATTTTTCGATTATTCAATTTTTGGTTTTCCACTCGGTGTTTCAAGGTTTCAATTGTACAATTTTTGAGTTGTCCCATTTTTTGCTTTTTGAGTTTTCGGTTAGATTTTTTAAAATTTTCCAAAGTTTTTGATTATTTAATTTCACGATTTATGAGAAATTGCAAAATCGAAAAAGGGGAAAATCGGTAATGAAATACAAAGCAAAAAACTGAAGAAACAAAAATTTAAAACATTGACAACTTAAAAAATTAGATTTCGAGAAAGTGAAAAAATTGAAGAATTTAAAGAAAACGTAGATCGCAAATAAATCCTAATCTTGACATAAAAACTAAAAATCGAAAAAAATTAATGAATCGAAAAATTTGAAAACCCAAATTTTCGAATTTTGAATTTTTAGTTTCCTCAACTGTTCGAGTTACAATTGTTCAATTTTACAATTCTTTGATTTTTTAGCTTTTCCATTTCTCAACTTTTGAATTTTTCAATTTTCCGTTTATTCAAATTTACAATTTTTTTTTTTTTATTTTATATGTAGATATTTGAGTTTTAGTTTCTTTTTAATTCTATGATGTTGTTTAGATTTTTCAATTTTCCTATGTTTAATTATTCAGTTCTGTGATTTTTGCAATTTTTCGTTTTTTCGATTCCTCGATTTACCAATTTTTCAATTTTTAGAATTTTCGGTTTTTTGATTTTTCGGTTCTTTTGGTTCCCTCAACTATTAAATTTTTAGACTTTTTGTTTTTTAATTTTTTTAATTTTTCTAATCTCGACATTTCGAGTTATAGATTTTTCGATTTTTTACTTTTCGACGTTTCGGTTTCTCGATTTTTTGAAGTTCCGATTTTCTATTTTTCGACATTCCGATTTCTCGATTTTTCGACTTTTCAGTCTTTCGATTTTATTGACTTTACAATTTTTCGACTTTTCGGTACCCAATTTTTAAATTTTTCGATTTTTCAACTTCCTGGATTTTCGAATTTTCTATTTCTTAATTTTTCAAGTGCTTAATTTTTCGATTTTTTGACTTTTCGATTTCTTAGTTTATAAATCGAAAAACTGAAAAAACGAGAAATTGGAAAATCCAAAAATTTCAAAAAGAGGAACTGAAGAAACCAAACATTGATAAAAATTGGAAAAGCCAATTTTTAGTCTCTTCTTTCAACTTTTCCACTTTTCAACTTTTCAATTTTTCACTTTTTCGTTTCTTCAACTTTACTATCTTTCTTTTTTTTTTATTTTATGTAGCTTAAATTTTTCAATTCTCCTATGTTTAATTATTAACTTTTCGACGTTTTAAATTAAAAACAATTTTTAATTTTTTATTTCTTATTAATTTTTTGGTATTTGGATTTTTCGATGTTTCTATTTCCAGATTTTTAAATTTTTCGAATCTTTTGGTTCCCTCAAAACTATTCGGTTTTTGGACCTTTCGATTTTTCAATTTTTCGACATTTCGATTTCTCGATTTTTTGACTTTTCGGTATTTCGATTTTTTCGATTTTTTGACTTTACGATTTTTGGATTTTTCAACGTCCCGGATTTTCGACTTTCCGGTTTCTGAATTTTTCCAAAATTAACTAAGTAAACTAAAAATCAAAAAACTGAAAAAAGAGGAATTGGAAAATCGAAAAATTTTAAATAGAAGAACTGAAGAAACGAAACACTGAAAAACCAAAAATCGAAAAATTTAAAATTTGAAAAAACTAATGAATTGAAAAATTGGAAACAAAAGAAAACGAATCAAATAAAAAAATATGAAAACCAAAAAATGGTAAAATCGAAAAACTATAAAATCGTCAAAATTGTAAAATCGAAAAATTGTTACATGCAAGATAGAAAAATTGAAAATTAAATATGGAGAAATTGAAAATTTAAAAATCAAACAATTGAAAAATCGAATAAACAAAAGGATTTTAAGTCCTGTAATCGAAAAATGTTAAATTTTAAAATCGTAAAACTGAAAAACCGAAAAATTGGAAAATTTAAGCTGAAAACTTGAAAAATCGAAGCAACGAAGATCTGAAGGGTCAAATATTTTTATGAAGAAATGAAAAAATTATACAATAAAAAACACAAAATTCAAAAAATCGAAAATTTCAACACGAAATTGCGAAGAATTGAAGAAATAAAAACTGAAAAATCGAAAATTTTGTAAAATCGGAAAATTAAAGAAATGAAAAATTACAAAAATCACAATTTTCAAAAATTGAAAAATGATGTTCTTTTGAAATTGAAATTAGAAAAATTGTAAATCTAAAAATTAAGAAACAATGCTGAAATCCAGAAAATACAAAAAAATTAAACTGAATTTGAAAAAATTTGAAGTAGAAAACCAGAAAGAATGTAAATCGAAAAATTAAAGAAAAGATACAAAAATTTAAATATCAGAACATTCAAAAGTTGGAAAGTCGAAAAATTTAAAAATTCAAACCTGAAAACTCGAAAAATTAAAGAAATCAAAAGTTTAAAAAGTTGAAGAATCTAAAAATTGTAAAATTTAAACCAGTAACTCGAGAAATTGAATAATCTGAAAATTGAAAAATCAAAAATCAAATAATTAAAAAATTAAACCGAAAACTCAAAAAATGGAAGAAATAAAATACTAAAAGATCGAAAAATTGAAAAATCTGAATGAAGAAATGAACAATTAAAAGATGGAAATATTCAAAAGTTAAAAAATCCAAAAACGGAAACATTTAAACTAGAAAACTCAAAAAATTGGAGAAGTGAAAAATTATGAAACTTGAAAATTTGCAGAAAGTATAAAAAAATGAAGAAATAAAAACTGAAGAATGCAAAATGTCAAAAGCTGAAAAATCGAACAACTGAATAATTGAAAAACTAAAAAATCAGAAAAAATTGAAAAATCGAAAAACTGAAATAACGAGAAATTGGAAAATCGAAAAATTGCAATTCGAAGAATTGAAGAAACGAAAAATTGATACATATATAGAAAAACTAAAAATTGAGGAACTTAAAAAAAGAAAAAAATTAAATTTTTCCTGGAAATTGTAAGCTTCAATCAATCAATCAATCAATCAATCAATCAATCAAGCTTGATTTTCCATTTTTTTCTATTTTATGTCAAGACTAAGTGTTTTTTTTACAATCCACGTTTCCTTTAAATTCTTAAAATTTTCCCGTTTTTTGGATTTTTCGAAATTTCACTTTTCCAATTTTGCAATTTTTCTATTTCTCATTTATCCTATTTTTCAATGTTTCGATGTTTCCATTTATCCATTTTCCATTTTTACAATTTTTCCATTTTTGCAATTTTTCCATTCTTAATTTCTCAATTGCTCAAATTTTATTTTTTTTATTTTTTGCTGTTTTAGTTTTTTTTCAATTTCTTCATTTCTCAAATTTTTATTTCCTAAAATTCCGATTTCTCACTTTCCCGTTTTTTGAATTTTTTGATTTATCAATTTTCCGATTTGGCTATTTCTCAATTTCATATTTATCCTTATTTTCAATGTTTCCGTTTTAATTTTTCAATTGTTCGACATTTAATCTTTTAATTTTTTGATGTTTCAATTTTTTTTTCAATTTCTTGATTTCTCAAATTTTTTATTTTGTAATATTCCGATTTCACAATTTCTCGTCTTTTGAATTTCTCTCGAAACTCGAAAAATTAAAGAAATCGAAAGATTAAAAAGTTGAAAAATCTAAAAATTGAAGAACTTAAATCAGTAACTAGAAAAATTCAATAATCTGAAAACTGAAAAATCGAAAATCAAATTAAAAAATTAAACCGGAAACTCAAAAATTGAAGAAATAAAATACTAAAAGATCGAAAAATTGAAAAATCTGAATGAAACAATGAAAAATTAAAAGATCAAAATATTCAAAAGTTAAAAAATCAAAAAACTGAAACATTTAAACTAGAAAACTCAAAAAATTGGAGAAATGAAAAATTATGAAACTTGAAAATTTGCAGAAAGTATAGAAAAATGAAGAAATAAAAACTGAAGAATGCAAAATGTCAAAAGTTGAAAAATAGAAGAATTTGGAATTGAAGACTCAAAAATTTTTAAATCAAAAGATCGAATAATCGGAAAATTTTAAAAATCAAGAATTCAAAAGTTAATAAATCGAAAACTTGAAAATTGAAGAAACAACAAAAAGATCGAAGATATTAAAACAATCTTCGATCTGTTTGTTGTTTCTTCAATTTTTCTGGATGTCTAATGTGAAAACTCAACACAGATTCATAAATTACAAGTACAGGAGTATCTTATTTTATAAAATTTGAACATCATTTATTACTGTAAAAATCGGCCAAAATTTGTTCAGCTAATTTTTTTTTTTTTTTAGAGCATCGGTCACGTGAGCGGCTGCCACATCAACCCCGCCGTGACGCTGAGCCTCTTCGTCACCGGGGACATCAAGCTGCTCCGAGCCCTCCTCTTCGTGGCGGTCCAGATGATCGGGGCCATCGGAGGAGCCGGAGTTCTGCGGGTACGGATTGAAATAATGCTCACGTCTCAGCCATTGAACTTGGTGGTCACCGGAATGGAACAGCACCGTTGAGGCCGTGCTATTCGTAACCGATATGCGTGACTAACCTTAGCGGTCAACACTTGCATTGTATTATGCAGTGGACGTTAACTCGAGCTGACCTTAGCCTCTTCGTTATTGAAAAACTTTTATGGGATAAATTATGTAATGAGAGAACGGGAAGTCCTGTTAAGGGGAGACGGACTTGAAGACGTCCGGTTGAAAATTATATAATGATAAGGATAACGATAACATTGATGATGATGATGGTGATGGTAAAATGGGTGGCGTGGTATGTTAGATGGGTTTGCATGACGGAACGTGCCTATCACGGTCGTTTGACATTTACTGGCGTGTGTTAAGTAGCTGGTGTGTGGATTGTAAATAGTGTTTGTAGCTCACACAAGAGGTTAAAAGCTTCTGCCTACGCGGCTAAATTTTTACCATTTTTGTTTGAGTGGTTCTTAAATTTTTCGTGGAAATTGTCACGTCGGTTTTTTATAATCTTGACTATTTGATAGCAAGATTAGGGTCCTTTGATGATCTCTGGGTTTCTTAAGGTATTTTCTTTACGATTGTAAAAGTGTTTTTGCTGCATTAATTAAAAAAAAGCTCAATTTTTTAGTTTTTGATTTTTCAGTTATTTTTTTTTTTTCAAATTTACAATCTTTAGATTTGTTTTTTTTTTCAACTATTTTGTTTTTCATTTTGTAAATTTTCCATTTTCGTTTTTATAATTTCACAATTTTGTAATTTTCCAATTTTAATTGCCCACTTGTTCGACTTTTAATTTTCCAACATTTTGGTGTATTTCTCTATCAGATTTTAAAATTTTTTATTTCTTCTATTTTCCAATTTGCAGTTACCCAATTATTATTTTTTTCAATTTTTAACTTTTCAAGGTTCCGATTTTATAATTTTTTGTTTTCTCGATTTTCCTATTTTTGATTCTTCAAAATCTCGATTTTCCTTTTTCAGTTTTGGATTTGTCAATTATTTAGTTTCTCTATTTTCCAACTTCCTTCGATTTTTTTATTATTCAATTTTACAATTCTTGGATATTTCAATTTCTAAATGTTGTAATTTTTATTAATTTTTCGATTTTTCAGTTTTACGATTTTACATCGTTCGTTTTAAAATTTTAGATTTTTCAATTTTTCGGTTTCTCATTTTCTCCATTTTTCAATTTTTTTATTTTTGAACTTTACGATTTTTCAAAGTTCCGATTTTACAATGAGAGTCAATTTCTCGGTTTCTCGATTTTCCAATTTCTCAGTTTTTTTATTCTTCGAGTTCTCTGATTTTTGATTTTCCAATTTTATGACCTCTCAAAGTATGGTTCGTTTTAAATTTTACGTTTTCAAATTTTTCATTTTTCAATTTTTTTACTTTTTAATTTTTCAATTTCTCAATTTTTCGTTTTTATAATTGGACGATTTTTCAAAGGACGAATTTAACAATGTTTTGCTTTTAATTTTTCGGTTGTTAATTTCTTGGTTTTTCAATACTACAATTTTTTCAAGTTTTTCGATATTTTAAATTTACGATTTTTCACAGGTTCGATTTTATAATTTTTCTATTTATTTTCTACTAATTTCAATACTATGATTTCTCAGTTTTTCGATTTTTCAAATTTTGATTTTTTAATTTTTCACCTTGTTAATCTTGAATTTTTCGACATGCAAGTGTTCCAATTTTTAAGTCTTCCACTTTTATATATATTTTTTAATTTTTAATTTCCAAATTATTCGATTTTTCCATTTTTATATTTTATATTTTTGACTGTCATATCTATTTTTTCATCTATTTGTCAATTGTTTGATTTTTCAATTTCATTTCTTCTATTTTCAATTTGCAGTTTTACAATTGTTCATTTTTTTCAATTTTTAATTTTTAGAGTGTTCGGTTTTATAATTTACCAATTTTTCAATATTATGATTTCCCAGTTTTCCTCTTTTTCAATTTTTCGATTTCTCAATTTTTGAATTTTGCAAGTTTTCGATCTGGCAGTTATTTAGTTTCTCAATTTTTTTATTATTCAATTTTACAATCCTTGGATGTTTCAATTTCTAAATGTTTTAATTTTTATTAAATTTCGATTTTTTAGTTTTACGATTTTACATCGTTCGATTTGAAATGTTAGATTTTTCAGTTTTTCGATTTCTCATTTTTTCCATTTCTCAGTTTTTCTATTTTTGAATTTTACGATTTTTCAAAGTTCCGATTTTACAATGAGTTTCGATTTCTCGGTTTCTCGATTTTCCAATTTCTCAATTTTTTTTTTCGAATTCTCTGATTTTTGATTTTCCAATTTTATGACCTCTTAAAGTATGGTCGTTTTCAATTTTACGTTTTCAAATTTTTCATTTTTCAATTTTTTTACTTTTTAATTTTTCAATTTCTCAATTTTTCGTTTTTATAATTTGACGATTGTTCGAAGGACGAATTTAACAATGTTTTGCTTTTAATTTTTCGGTTGTTAACTTTTTGGTTTTTCAATATTACAATTTTTTCAAGTTTTTCGATATTTTAAATTGACGACTTTTCACAGGTTCGATTTTATAATTTTTCTATTTATTTATTTTCTATTAATTTCAATACTATGGTTTCTCAGTTTTTCGATTTTTCAAATTTTGATTTTTTAATTTTTCGCCTTGTTAATCTTGAATTTTTCGACATACAATTTTTCTAATTTTTAAGTCTTCCACTTTTATATATATTTTTTAATTTTTAATTTCCAAATTATTCGATTTTTCCATTTTTATATTTTATATTTTTGATTTTTATATGTATTTTTTTATCTATTTGGCAACTGTTTGATTTTTCAATTTCATTTCTTCTATTTTCAATTTGCAGTTTTACAATTGTTCATTTTTTTTCAATTTTTAATTTTTAGAGTGTTCAGTTTTATAATTTACCAATTTTTCAATATTATGATTTCCCAGTTTTCCTGTTTTTCGATTTTTCGATTTCTCAATTTTTGAATTTTGCAAGTTTTCGATCTGTCAATTATTTAGTTTCTCAATTTTTCGATTTCCTTCGATTTTTTTTAATTCAATTTTATAATTTTTCAATATTTCAATTTCTAAATGTTTTAATTTTTCTATTTTTGAATTTTACGATTTATCAGAGTTTCGATTTTACAATTTTCTGATTTTTAAATTTTTTATTTTTCAAATTTTCTATTAAGTATTTCAACTTTTCCGTTTTTTGATTTTTCTATTTATCACTTTTTCGTTTTGAATTTTTCGTTTTTAAATTTTCAATTTTGCCATTTTACTTTCTTGCGTTTTTTCAATTTTTCAATTTTTTAATTTTTGAATTTTCAACGACCCGATATTTCAGCTTTTCTGTTTTTCGATTTTTCAGTACACGATTTTTAGAGGTTTCGATTTTACAGTTTTTCGTTTATTTCATTTTTACGTTTTTCCTATTTTTGATTTTCCGAAGTCTCGGTTTATATTTCTTTAAATTTATTCACGGTTTCTCCGTTATTTAATTTTACAATTTTTCGATGTTACAATTTTCAAATAACTTAGTTTCTAGATTTTTATTTTAGTTAATTAATTAATCTTTCACATTTTCTAGTTTTTCAATTTTTACATTTCTCAATTTTTCAACTTTTTCCTTTTTTGATTTTTCAATTTTACAGTTATTCGTTTTCAATTTTTCGATTTTGTATTTTTGAATTTTTCAGTTTTCAACCTCTAGAATTCATCGATTTCTCAATCTTTCGATTATGCAATTTTTCGTTTTTTCGATTTTCCTATTTTTGATTTTTCAAGATTTAATTTTTTCACTTTTTGAATTTTGCAAGTTTTCGATCTGTCAATTATTTAGTTTCTCAATTTTATAATTTTGCAATGTTTCAATTTCTAAATGTTTTGATTTTTCTTAATTTTTCTATTTTTGAATTTTACGATTTATCAAAGTTTCGATTTTACAATTTCTTGATTTTTCAATTTTTTATTTTTCAAATTTTTCGACTTTTCAACTTTACGAATTTTCAAAGTTCTGATTCCAATGAGTTTCAATTTCTCGGTTTCTCGATTTTTCAATTTTTCGATTTCTGCGTTTTTTGATTTTTCAATTTTATGATTTTTCAAACTATGGATTTTACAATCTTCCGTTTTCAATTTTTTATTATTGACTTTTTCATTTTTCAAGGGACCAATTTAACAATTTTTAGCTTTCAATCGGTTGTTGACTCTTTGGTTATTCAATATTTAAATTTTTTCAAGTTTTTTATTTCTCAGTTTTTTGATTTTTCAATTTATCAATTTTTTCCATTTATTAGACTTAGAATTTTATATAAATTTTATTTTTGAATTTCCAAATTTTTCGATTTTTCTGTTTATAGATTTTCTATTTTCAATTTTTGTATGTATTTTTATCTATTTGTTATTTGTTTGATTTTTCAATTTTATCATTTTAGCATCTCGCGTTTTTTCAATTTTTCAATTTTTTAATTTTTTAATTTTCAAGGACCCGGTATTTCAGTTTTTCTGTTTTTCGATTTTTCTGTACACGATTTTTAGAGATTTCGATTTTACAGTTTTTTCATTTTTACGTTTTTCCTATTTTTGATTTTTCGAAGTCACGGTTTATGTTTTTTCAAATTTATTTCTCAAATTTTCGATTTTACGATGTTTTTCTTCACTTTCACGGTTTCTCGGTTTTTTAATTTTACAATTTTCTAATATCTTAGTTTATAGATTTCTTATTTTAGTTAATTTTTCAATTTTTAAATTTCTGATCTTTCAATTTTTCTAGTTTTTTAATTTTTACATTTCTCAATTTTTCAACTTTTTCGTTTTTTGATTTTTCGATTTTATAGTTTTTCGTTTTCAATTTTTCGATTTTGTATTTTTGAATTTTTCAGTTTTTCAACTTCCATAATTCTTCGATTTCTCAATTTTTCGTTTTACAATTTTACGATTTTTCAAGGAACCAATTTTACGGTTTTTCATTGTCAGTTTTTCGGTTTTGAATTTTTGTTTTTCACTGTTTCCATTTTCTCAGTTTTTCGATTGTTCAATTTTTCTATTCTTTCCATTTTTTTTAGATTTATTCGTTGTTTCTATTTTTTCAATATTTTGATTTCTCAATTTTTCGATTTTTCAAATTTTGATTTTTTAATTGTTCACTTTGTTAATCGTGAATTTTGCCATATGCAATTTTTCCAATTTTTAGTCTTCAAGTTTTATATTTTATTTAATTTTTGAATATCCAACTTTTTCGATTTTTCCATTTTTATGTTTTATATATATTTTTTATTTATTTGTCAATTTTTCAATTTTACGATTTTTCAAAGTTTCGATTTTATAATTTTTCAAATTTTTGATTTCTCAGTTTAACGATTTTTCGTTCCAATTTTTTAATTATTTTTATTTTTGAATTTTCAACGACCCGATAATTTCAGTTTTCCTGTTTTTTTTTCGTTTTTTTAATGTTTCGATTTCCCCTGTTTTGATTTATCGAAATCTCTGTTTTCCATTTTTCAGTTTTCGAATATTGCAAATTTTCAATTTGTCAACTACCAAATTTTTTATTTTTTTATTTATAGTTTTTCAACTTTTGATGTCCTATTTTTTCTGTTTTTCAATATTTCGATTTTACATTTTTTTACCTTTTCATTTTTTTTCAACTTCACGAAGTTCCGATTTTACGATTTTTAATTTTACAAAATTTCGATTTTACAATCTTTTAATATCTGAGTTTTTAGATTTTTATTTTTGTTAATTTTTCAAGTTTTTGTTCTTTCATTTTTTCTAGCTTTTCAGTGTTTACATTTCTCAATTTTTCAACTTTTCCGTTTTTTGATTTTTCAATTTAACACTTTTTCGTTTTCAATTTTTCGTTTTTGAATTTTTCAGTTTTTCAACTTTTCAACAATTTTATGGTTTTTCAATTTCAATTTTTCGGTTTTGAATTTTGTTTTTCAGTGTTTATATGTTTTCAATTTTTCTGTTTCTTAGTTTTTCGATTGCTGAGTTTTAAGATTTTTGAAAGTTTCGATTTTATAATTTTTCGTTTCCAATTATTGTTGATGTTTCAATTTTTCTATTTTTTCCATTTTTAGATTTTTTCAATTATTTATATTTTTCAATGTTTTGATTTCTCAATCTTGAATTTTTCGATATTTTGGTTTTCAAATTTTATATACATTTTTTCAATTTTTTGAATTCCTAAATTTTCAGATTTTCTTATTTTATATTTTTGATTTTTATATATATTTTTTCTATTTGTCAATTTAATAAAGATACGATTTTTTTCTTTTTCGTTTTTTCAATGTTTCAGTTTTTTAATTTTTGATTTTTAGTTTTACAATTTGGCAATTTTCGGTTTGCCAATTATCTGATTTTTCGATTCTTAACAACTGAATTTTTCAGTTTTCGATTTTAAAATTTTTCATTTTTTCAATTTTTTTATTTTACAACTTTTCGATTTTTCAGTTTTATTATTTTCGAGTTTTTAGCTCTTTTTTTACATTTTCTGTTTTTCGATTTTTCAATTTAAGAATTCTTAAATTTGTTAATTTTTGAATACTTCGATTTTACCAACTCTGCATTTTTCAATTTTACAAATTTTCAATTTTTTGTAATTTGAGACTTTTTCAAGTTCTCAGTTTTTCAGTGATTCGATTTATCAGTTTTTTATTTAGGTTGCAATTTAACAATCTAAGTTAATAAAAAATCGAAAAATTAAAAACTGAAAACTCGAAAAATCCCAAAAAATTTGAAAAATGTCAAAAATCTTAACCTCAAAATTAACATGTTTATTTTCAGTTAATCGTCCCCGAGAATAAAGAAGGCGGCTTGGGAATAACCAACCTCGGCAACGACCTGACCGACGTGCAAGGCTTCCTCATGGAAATCGTCCTGACTTTCGTCCTGGTTTTCATAGTCCACTCTGTATGCGACCCCCGTCGTAAGGACATCAAAGGCTCCGCTCCCTTAGCAATAGGTCTGGCAGTGACCGCTTGCCATCTTTCGGGCGTAAGAAACCGAAAACCCCGAAACTGTGACCTTTAAATTACAATTATAACAACAATTCCAGATCCCGTACTCCGGATCCAGCATCAACCCTGCTCGCAGTTTCGGTCCTGCCGTCATCATGGATCTGTGGGAGAATCACTGGGTATACATATTTGTTTTCTCGCTCATAGTCATATAAAGCCTGAGATTGATGTAAGTGTGTCGACTTTAATTTACTGTTCTTTTTTCGGTTTCAGGTCTACTGGGCAGGACCACTACTCGGCGGAGTGTTGGCCGGATTAATCTATAAGTATTTATTCAAGGTGACGAAGAGCGAAGCGGAGTCCTACGATTTTTAACTATGGCATTTATATCATTGTCGAAATCATCCACCACTAACCCCCATCGTACCTAGGTACTAATTTATGGTCATTTTTTTACGCTATCATGTGTAGTGTGACTTATTTTAATAACGTTAAATAAATTATTGTCACTGCAATCTTCATTGCCACGTAGAGGCTTTATGTACATATAGTTTTAATTTCACTGTGACGAAGAACGATTGAAATAAAGATTTTAAGTGTTGGATGGTGTTTTATTGGGTGAAATGGAGACAGTTGTATAGGCAACCCTTTATACATATAAAGCATAAATTAATACGTGTCGAGTGAAATAAATAAAAAAATTACATTAACGTGAAAATAGAAATCCGTCAGGAAATTGGAGATCCTGAATTTAAATCATCGAACTTACTCATAGTTCAAAGGTTTTGGATTAATTTTTGGTTTTTCAATTTTATAGTTGTTAGATATGTTGATTTTTCAATTTTTTTAAAGATTTCGACTTCTCAATATTTGATATTTCAGTGGTGTGTGTGTGTCGAATTTCACACAAAGTATCCAGAATTTTTGGAAAAAATTCAAAACTTAATAACAATATTTTGCAATAAAACTTTGAAACTGCAAAACCGATTGCTGTGAAATCTTGTAAATATTTTAAGGTTATCGTAATCATGGTAAATCGTTAAGCAATATTTATTCGTTTATCCCTACCAAAAAAATTGATGACTGCATTTATATTTTTTAGAATTAGTTACACCGAAAATTTGAGAATACAATCTTGTTATTATTAAAAAAATAGATAAATTTGCACTTTCTCGAAAAACCAGGATTTGTTTTACTGTATTCTACGGGCGAGGGAAGTTCTGTCGAAATAACTTTCGAACAATTTTTTGATTTTTAAATTTTGTTCATTTTTCAATATTGCGATTTTATAACTACAGGATTTTTCAATTTTTCATGTCTCGAATTTGCAGTTTTTCAGTTATGCATACTTAGGATGCTAATATTTTTCAGTTTTCAATTTTTTAATATTTCTATTTTTCATTTTTCAGTAGATTTTTCAAAATTTTTACTTTTTTAAATTTTTCGAATTTTTAATGTATCAATTTTTGTATTTTTTGATTTCGCCATTTTTTGTCTTTTTAATTTTACTATTTTTCAAAAGATCAATTTTACAATTTTTCGTTCTCAGTTTTTCCGTTGATGAATTTTTAATTTCTCATTGTCTCTATTTTTTTAACTTTTCTTTTTCTCATTTTTTCGATTTTTCCATTTTACGATTTTTCAAGGTTTAGATTTTATAATTTTTCGTTTTCAATTTTTGATTTTTCAATGCATATTTCTATCTTTTTCAATGTTTCGATTTCTCAGTTTCTCGATTGCTCAATTTTACGGTTTTTCAAAGTTTGGATTTCAGAATTTTTCGATTTTTTAATTTTTGAAATTTTATATATAATTTTTTTTATTTTTTCATTTCTAAATTTTTCGGTTTTCTGTGTTTATATTTTATATTTTCGGTTTAAATTTTTTTACTTTTTCTATTCTATATTCTTTTGGTTTCAATTTCTGATTTCAATTCGCTCCATTTTTCGATTTTTGAATTTTTTAATTTCTCAATTCTTCATTTTTCTATTTTTCGATTTTGCAATTTTCAATTTGACAATTTAATTTTTGATTCCAAACAATTGGATTTTTGTATTTTTCAGTTTTCCGATTTCCGGTTTTTTTCAATTTTTGAATGTCTATTCTGATTTATCAATTTTACAGTTTTCGATTTTTTATTTTTTTGATCTCCCAATTTTTGTTTAATGCAATTTTTCTATTTTTGAACTTAAATTGTTTTAAACTTTTTTATTTTAAGTTTTGCGATTTTGCAATTATGCATTCGATTTTTCAATTTTACAATTTTTACATTTCTTAATTTCCCAATATTGAATGAATGATTTTTCTTCGTATTTTTCAATTTTTGGATTTTTCAGTTTACCAATTTTTTGATTTTATAATTTTTAGATATGTTAATTTTTAAGTTTTTAGATATCAGTTTTTGCTTTCTTAAGTTTTTCGTTTACCAATTTTCATCAATTTCAATTTTCTGGAATTTCAAATTTTGATGTTTTTTATTTTTCAATTCTTCATTTTTTCGATTTTTCAACTTTCGAAATTTTTCATTTTTGGGTTTCTAGATTTATATTTTCCCGATTTTTCATCTTTTTTGTGTTTTTTGTCGAGCATTATGTTCCTTTATGGACAATTTGTCTTTTGGAAGAATAAATCATTATAATTATTACTATTATTATTATTTTGCAATTCTTAGATTTTTCAATTTCCCAATATTGAATTTTTCGATTTCTCATTTTTTATTCATTATTTTTATTTTTACGATTTTTTGATTTTTTAATATTTTTGATTTTTCAGCTTGTAGATTTTGTAATACATCGTTTTTTTATTTATGAGTTTTTCGACAATTTACAAGCTTTAAATTTCATGATTTTTCAATTTTACAATTTTGAGGTTCGTAAATATTTGACTTTTGCAATTTTTCAATACTTTGATTATTTTCAAATTCTGAATTTTTTTATTTTTTGATTTTTAATTTTTCAATTTTTCCAATTTTGAAACTTTCGATTTTCAAATTTCCGAATTTTTAATTATTTTATTGCAATTTTTCTGCCTTTGATTTAAAATTTTTCAGTTTTTCAATTTTCCGAATTTGAATTCTCCAATTTTTTCATTTTTTAACTTTTTTCTTCCAAAGTTTTGTGATTTTTGAATTTTTCGATTTTTACAACTCTTGAGTTTCTATATTTTTAATTTTCAATTCCCTGATTTTGATTTTTTCGTTTCTACAGTATTTAATTTTTCAAATCTACCATTTTCAATTTAATTTTTCAATTTTCTATTTGCAATTTTTGAATTTGTGTACTTCAGTTTCTAAATTCCTTAATTCTTTCTTTTTTTATTTTTTAAATTTCGAATTAATTTTATAATTTTTTTGTTTTTTTAATATTTCTTCAATTTTTCAATGTTTTAATTTCTGTATTTCTCGATATTAAGGTTTCTGGAATTTTAACTTTTCGACTTTTTAATTACATACTCAATTTTTCTACTTTCGAATTTAAAATTGTCTAATTTTTAAATTTTTCGATCTCTGGTTTTTTTTTTAATTTCAATTTTTCAAATTTTGAATTTTTTTCATTTTTTAATCTTTATTTTTTCAATTCCTCAGTTTTACCATTTGAGTTTCTCGATTTTTAAATTTCCGTGTTTTAATTATTTTATTTTTCTGCTTTTGAATTTAAAATTTTTCAATTTTTCAATTTCCCGATTTTGAAAATTTTCGCTTTCTTATTCTTGAATAATTCGACTTGAGATTTTTCAATTTTTTTATTTTCAAATTTTATATATATATACTTTTTATTTTTAAATTTCTGAATTTTTCGATGTTTCTGTATTTATACTTTCATATTTTTTTCCTTTTTCTATTTGTCAATTGTTCGATTTTTAAATTTACGATTTTGCAAAGTTTCAACATTTTACAAGCTTTAAATTTCATGATTTTTCAATTTTACAATTTTGAGGTTAGTAAATATTTCAAATTTTCAGTAGGTATTCTTCAATTTGTCGATTTAACAATTTTTGAAATTTTAAAAATATTTCAAATTCTCATTTTTTTAAATTTTTTGATTTTTAATTTTTCAGTGTTTCAATTTTTCCAGTTTTGAGATTCTCGATTTTTAAATTTCCGATTTTTAATTTTCAATTTTCTGATTTTGAATTTTTTGCTTTTCGTCTTGCAATTTTTCGTTTCTACAGGAATTAATTTTTCAAATTTACAATTTTCAGTTTATTCGCTTTTTCAATTTTTTATTCGCAGTTTTCCTAGTTATCCATTTTAACTTTTTAATTTTTTAATTTTTTATTTCTTCAATTTTTCGTTGTTTTAACTTCTGAATTTTTCGATTTTAGAATTTCTCGAGTTTTTGATTTTTAAATGATTTCATTGCAATTTTTCTACTTCCGAATTTAAAATTGTCTAGTTTTTAGGTTTTTCAAGTCAGGTCAGACCGAAGTCAGGACCAAGTCAGGCCCGATTTAACAAATTTTTGAAAGCTTATGATTTTTCAATGTTTCGATCTCTCGAGTTTTGTTTTCTTCAATTTCAAATTCTTGCAATTTTTAAATTTTGATTTTTTGTCATTTTTTAATTTTTAATGTACCAATTTTTGTATTTTTTGATTTCGCCATTTTGTGTCTTTTTAATTTTACTATTTTTCAAAAGATCAATTTTACAATTTTTCGTTCTCAGTTTTTTCGTTGATGAATTTTTAATTTCTCATTGTCTCTATTTTTTTAACTTTTCTTTTTCTCATTTTTTCGATTTTTCCATTTTACGATTTTTCAAGGTTTGGATTTTATAATTTTTCGTTTTCAATTTTTGATTTTTCAATGCATATTTCTATCTTTTTCAATGTTTCGATTTCTCAGTTTCTCGATTGCTCAATTTTACGGTTTTTCAAAGTTTGGATTTCAGAATTTTTCGATTTTTTAATTTTTAAAATTTTATATATAATTTTTTTATTTTTTCATTTCTAAATTTTTCGGTTTTCTGTGTTTATATTTTATATTTTCGGTTTAAATTTTTTTACTTTTTCTATTCTATATTCTTTTGGTTTCAATTTCTGATTTCAATTCGCTCCATTTTTCGATTTTTGAATTTTTTAATTTCTCAATTTTTCATTTTTCTATTTTTCGATTTTGCAATTTTCAATTTGACAATTTAATTTTTGATTCCAAACAATTGGATTTATGTATTTTTCAGTTTTCCGATTTCCGGTTTTTTTCAATTTTTGAATGTCTATTCTGATTTATCAATTTTACAGTTTTCGATTTTATATTTTTTTGATCTCCCAATTTTTGTTTAATGCAATTTTTCTATTTTTGAACTTAAAATTGTTTTAAACTTTTTTATTTTAAGTTTTGCGATTTTGTAATTATGCATTCGATTTTTCAATTTTACAATTTTTAGATTTCTTAATTTCCCAATATTGAATGAATGATTTTTCTTCATATTTTTCAATTTTTGGATTTTTCAGTTTACCAATTTTTTGATTTTATAATTTTTAGATATGTTAATTTTTAAGTTTTTAGATATCAGTTTTTGCTTTCTTAAGTTTTTCGTTTACCAATTTTCATCAATTTCAATTTTCTGGAATTTCAAATTCTGATGTTTTTTATTTTTCAATTCTTCATTTTTTCGATTTTTCAACATTCGAAATTTTTCATTTTTGGGTTTCTCGATTTATAATTTCCCGATTTTTCGTCTTTTTTTGTGTTTTTTGTCGAGCATTATGTTCCATTATGGACAATTTGTCTTTTGGAAGAATAAATCATTATAATTATTACTATTATTATTATTTTGCAATTCTTAGATTTTTCAATTTCCCAATATTGAATTTTTCGATTTCTCATTTTTTATTCATTATTTTTATTTTTACGATTTTTCGATTTTTTAATTTTTTTGATTTTTCAGTTTGTAGATTTTGTAATACATCGATTTTTTGTTTATGAGTTTTTCGACAATTTACAAGCTTTAAATTTCATGATTTTTCAATGTTACAATTTTGAGGGTCGTAAATATTTACTTTTGCAATTTTTCAATACTTTGATTATCTTCAAATTCTGAATTTTTTTTTCCAATTTTGAAACTTTCGATTTTTAAATTTTCGAATTTTTAATTATTTTATTGCATTTTTTCTGCCTTTGATTTAAAATTTTTCAATTTTTCAATTTTCCGAATTTGAATTCTCCAATTTTTTCATTTTTTAACTTTTTCTACAGTATTTAATTTTTCAATTTTCCATTTTCAATTAAAGTTTTCAATTTTTCTATTTGCAATTTTTGAATTTGTGTACTTCAGTTTCTAAATTCCTTAATTTTTTCTTTTTTTATTTTTTAAATTTCGAATTAATTTTATAGTTTTTTTGTTTTTTTAATATTTCTTCAATTTTTCAATGTTTTAATTTCTGTATTTCTCGATATTAAGGTTTCTGGAATTTGAACTTTTCGACTTTTTAATTACATATTCAATTTTTCTACTTTCGAATTTAAAATTGTCCAATTTTTAAATTTTTCGATCTCTCGGTTTTTTTCTTTAATTTCGATTTTTCAAATTTTGGCATTTTTTTCATTTTTTAATCTTTAATTTTTCAATTCCTCAGTTTTACCATTTGAGTTTCTCGATTTTTAAATTTCCGTGTTTTTAATTATTTTATTTTTCTGCTTTTGAAGTTAAAATTTTTCAAATTTTCAATTTCCCGATTTTGAAAATTTTCGCTTTCTTATTCTTGAATATTTCGACTTGAAATTTTTCGCTTTTTTTATTTTCAAATTTTATATATTGTTACCTTAAAACGTCGTCTCTGCTATAAAAGCGAGGGAAGATACACTTGCCCGTGCTCACTTCCGGGAGAGCCGGTAGGTGGATCCGAGGTTTTAATTCAGAATGAAAGGCTAATTATTTTGGCGAGCTGTATAATAATTAAAATATTTAGGGCTTTTAGTACAAAAAAAAATATTATCTAGGTTAGTAAAAGGTAACAAAACTACAACTAATGTCAGTAACGAATTACCACAACAAATGAACTGACGAACTACTACGCAACAACGGTCTACTAGCTAGTTACAGGAAATGCTGACTATTTCACAAATAAAAAAAATTGGGCGCCATCAAATTTATGCGGGTACGTGAAAATTTGAAAAAACGTTGAAAAGCATGTAAAGAGTGAAAGAGAGAGACGCAGAAAAAAACGGTTTGGTCTGGCGACAAACGATAAGAAAATTTCCGATCGCGATAAGGCGTGTTCTTTTACTCGTAGCTCAAAAAAACAGGAGTCTTCCCACAGGACGACGGCGACGCGCTGACCAAGTCCTGCCGCGGCCTGGATCCCCCGATGTTCAACTCACCAGGTCCGCGTCTTCGACGTCGCGATCATCCAAAAACTCCGGGTCTCCTAGCTGGCGCTACGCCCAGCAAATTTCCCTCGTTTCGCTGCCCTCTACGTCGCCTCTGTACGGCTCCGAAACTTCGCCCCTGGCGTGGACCCTACAGGTGGAGCAATAAGCCTACATGCGGCAAAAGGCACGAAATTTACCTTATACAAGGGATACGCCTCACTATCAATCTATGGAACTGAGTACTCTCAAAAAAAGAAAGGAAACCATCAGGTCAAACCTCGCCAAACTCAAATCACCTCTTCTCGGCACCAACTCTCACTCTTCTCTCACTTTGCACCCCCACCTCTCGCTTGGCCGTCTCCGTCCCCGCCAGTACTACTTCGTAGAGGCAAAAAAAACTCAAAATTTGGCGGAGCTGCCGGCGACAATCCGCAATAAAAAAAGAGGTCGAGATCGGTGACAGGCGTTCGCTACGACCGATTAAAACCATCGAGCGAGACTTCGTCTAAGCCCCTTTCACCCTCGACTCCAAAAAAAAATCGTAACAATATGTACTTTTTATTTTTAAATTTCTGAATTTTTCGATGTTTCTATGTTTATACATTCATATTTTTTCCTTTTTCTATTTGTCAATTGTCCGATTTTTGAATTTACGATTTTGCAAAGTTTCGACATTTTAGAAGCTTTAAATTTCATGATTTTTAATTTTTCAGTGTTTCAATTTTCCAGTTTTGAGATCCTCAATTTTTAAATTTCCGATTTTTAATTTTCAATTTTCTGATTTTGAATTGTTTGCTTTTCGTTTTGCAATTTTTCGTTTCTACAGGACTTAATTTTTCAAATTTACAATTTTCACTTTATTCGGTTTTCCAATTTTTTATTCGCAGTTTTCCTAGTTATCAATTTTAACTTTTTAATATTTTAATTTTTTATTTATTCAATTTTTCGATGTTTTAACTTCTGAATTTTTCGATTTTCGAATTTCTCGAGTTTTTGATTTTTAAATTATTTCATTGCAATTTTTCTACTTCCGAATTTAAAATTGTCCAATTTCTAGGTTTTTCAAGTCAGGTCAAGTCAGGTCAGACCGAAGTCAGGACCAAGTCAGGCCCGATTTAACAAATTTTTGAAATCTTATAATTTTGTTAAATAATGTTTCGATTTCTCGGGTTTTGTTTCCTTCAATTTCAAATTCTTGCATTTTTTAAATTTTGGTTTTTTTAATTTTTTAATTTTTAAGTTTTACCATTTCAGTTTCTCGATTTTTAAATTTCCGGATTTTTAATTATATTTGTTTCTGCTTTTGGATTTAATAAAAATTTTTCAATTTTTCAATTTCCCGATTATGAGTTCTTCAATTTTCCCTTCCAAAGTTTTGCGACTTTGCAATTTTTTTATTTTTCCCATAAAAAAATTCTTTATTTCTAATTTTCAATAATTTTCAATTTCTTGATTTTTTTTTCGTTTCTTCAGTATTCAGTTTTATTTTCCAATTCTACTATTTTCAGTTTATTCACTTATTAATTTTTCTATTTACAATTTTTGTGTTTTTCAATTTTAGATTCTTCAGTGTTTCGATCTCCCAGTTTTTGATTTCTTCAATTTGTAATTTTCATAATTGTCTATTTTAACTTTTTCCAACACCTTGAAACTATTGGACTAATTGTTGTCAAATTTTGTATGTACATTAGGAATATCATGTAGATGGTGAAACGCTCACCAAAATTTGGCTAATCATCCCCACCACCAATGGGATGATGTCATTTCTAAAATTTATATTCATATGTATATATATATTTTTTTTTTTCATAAAATAAGATACTCTTCCAATTGTGATGTATGAATCCGTGTTGACTTTTTACCCTAGACATCCAGATTTTTGGAAAAAATTCAAAATTGTATAACATTTTACAATTCAACTTTGAAATTATAAAACCGAAAGCTTCGAAATCTTGGAAACGTTTTAAGGTTATCGTAATGATGGTAAATCATTAATCAAAATTTATTCGTTTATCCCCTCCTAAAGAATTTATGACGTCGTCTCAAAATTTTGTCAAATAAATCCCATCGAAAAGCTGGATGTACTTCAGGGGCGAGGAAAGTTCTGTCGAAATAACATTCGATTAGTTGTTTAATGTTTCATTTCTTCAATTCTTAGAAGTTTTACTTTCAATTTTTCGATTTTTCAAAGTGAAAATTTCATTTTCCAAGTTTTTTTAACTTTTGCAATTTAATTTTCCGATTTTACCATTTTTACCTTTTCCAATTTTACAATTTTCAGATTAATTTACAAAGTTGGGAAATGTCAGTTTGAATTTACATTTGATTTTTTTAAATATAGGCAACTCTTTATACACCTAAACTACTACACGTTATAGTGGAGTCGGAATGTTGGTTGGGTGAGAATGAAGGAGAGTCCCAAGTATATTATTATTTATTCACAATTTTCATTAAAAAATGGGCATTTAAGCGATGTTAATATAATTAACACTAATGCAAATTCTTCACTGATGGATAAATACATAAATATTTAATAACATAATTACGAAAAAGATATAAATTTATTTATACATACTCCAACGGACTTCAAAAATGCTGCTGCTATTCGGCTTAATCTAGAGATAAATAATTATTCGCCTAAGTATGTGTATAACAAGATAATACTTTATTTTAATTTATTAACAGATTGTACAGCATCATTTTTGAAATGTTAACAGATTAGCATGTATTAACAGATATTTCTAGAATTAGATTCTTTTTTTTTTTGTTCAATATACCTATATTATGTACAGATGCTGGATATAAAACTTGGACTTTTTCAATTCAATGTAATAAAACAGACGAAGAACAGCATCTCGGAAATGTCTGTGAATACAAACAAACGGCTCATTTTTGCCTTGCGAAGCCACACATAAAAGACACGCTCACATTCTCAACGCTCGTTCAGACTAAGCTACTTATTCTAGAGAATTTAAATCAGTTACGAGACCCGCATTTTGTTCAATTGGCAGAGATATTACAATTAATTTTAATGATAAAAAACAGGCAAACGAGATTTTGTCGACGACAATACTTGATGTTATGTGATAACACGTGGACTTTTTTCTTGTCTCTTAAAAAATTCCTATGGACCAGCACACTTTGGTACGATGGGAAACTGCGAATTTTACTTTTTTGGCCATTGAATCACGAACTCAAAAACACAAACGTACGAAAAATAGACGTCACTGTTTCTCCGCGTAGATTTTTTAGTTATAAGGCATCATTTTTAATAAACTAAGCGGGCTAATGCCCTTCTTTAACACTAGAAATTTGCGTAGTAGGGTTTGGGAGGTCTTTACAACTAAAAGTGAAAGTCCAGAGCACTGAAACCACTAACACATCGCGAGTGCTCTTATCACAGAAATAATTTACAACTAATCACATGAAAAAATCAACGAAAACATTCACATTTTATTGATGTAACAAGTATGTTTCGTAAATTTAGTGTTTAAAGCACTTTAGGGAAGAATTATAATTATTTATCAGAATAAAATGGTTGGTATAAATTACATTTATGTAAATTTCAGAACTACCAATCATCATTATTACTTTAATTATATACATGTATACGAAACTTCAACTCGTACATCACTATGCGTAACGCCTGCGGGGGCGGCGGGCACCGCCACGACTCTCGCCGACGCGCCGCCCCCGCGCCCCCGCAAGCTCCAAATACAAGGGCGATAAGTTTAAAATTGTTATTGGCAGTAGTTACAAAATTCAAAAATATCCTAGTCCAGTGACAGCCGAGTTCACCACTGCAGAATGACACCAACACAACATCAACTTGTTATTCAATTCCTGAAAGGCCAGAGACTTATTGTGAATAACAGTTATGTCAATTTTGTAGCGTTCCAGTTTGTGATCGTCCGTCAATTTAACACTAGTCGGTTTAATCCTAACTAACGAAAGAATGTGAACTCATTTACTGAGTGTTCTCCGTGTGTTAGCACCAGTCGTCGTCGTCAGAGTCCGAGTGTCGTGACGACCGAGTCGGTTTCGGCTTGTAGCCGTTAGGCACCGGACTGGGCAGCATTCGGCCGCCGCGACCCAGAGCCACCGCCTGCTCGAAGCTGAGGGGGGCGGCGTTGGAGGCGACGGCGATGGCGGAAGCGCCGCCGCCGCCGCCACCGCCGCCGGTCGCCGCTATCTCCCTGAGGGGCTCGCGCTCGCGGTGCTGGTAGTTGTGGTGGGGGACGACGTGGGGGGTGGCGTGAGCGGAGTGGGACTGCAACTGAAACAGATAACGTTGAATAGGCAACCCTTTATACGGAGAGACTGCTCTACATACATTTCTACGTCGCTGGAAATAAAGGCTGGTTTAGAACATGACATGAACGATTAATAAACTAAAGTGTCCAGTAAACATAACATAAAAACTCACTCAATTACTTCTAAGTTAGATACGAAAATAGAAAAAATTTAGTTAGGTCAGATCAGCACCAAGTCAGGTCAGCTCAAAGTTAGATACAAAAAAAAGATTAAATTAAAGTCAGGTCAGGACCAGGTCAATTTAGTGATTTTTCAATTTCTAGGTTTGTATAATTTTGCAATTTTTGGATTCCTATTTCAGCTTTTGCTTTTTCACTTTTTTATTTTAAAATTTTTCGTTTCAATATTTAGATTTTCAATTGTCCAATTTTTCAATTTTTTTGTTTGTTTTTCAGTTGTTTTCAATTTTTTTTGTTTTCAAATTACACAATTTTTTAGATGTCAATTTTAACATTTTTCCATTTTTTAATTTTTCTATTTCTCATTTTTCAAATTTTTGATTTTTCAGTTTAGATTTTACAATTTATCGATTCCTCATTTTTCAATTTCTCGGCATTTCGATTTTTTAGTTTGACAATTTTTCGATTTTTCGTTAGTTTTTCAAAATTTTCATTTTTTTACATTTTTTAGATTAATCATTCAACAATTTTTCAAATTATTAAGAACTCAATTTTTCGATTTTACAACTTTTGTATTTTTCAATTTATCGTTTCTCCAATTTTCCGATTTGCAATTTGAAAATTTTTTAGTTGATTAAAATTGCGATTTTCAATTTTTTTATTTTAAAAGTGTTATTTTTGGATTTATCTGTTTTGTAGTTATTAGATTTTTCAAGCTGTCAGTGTTCCGTAAAAAACTTGAATTTGAATATTTCGATCTCTCATTTTCGCTTTCATAATGAATTTTTTCAAAATGTGTTTTAATATTTTCTGTTTTTTAAGATTTTCCTTTCGTAAGTTTTGTGATTTTGCAAACATTTTACAATTTTTAAATTTTTTAATTTTTTTAATTTTCAATTTTTCGATCTCTCAGTTTTTGCTTTCTTCAATTTTTTGAATTTTTTCATTCTTGAGTTTTTCATTTTTAATTTTTCGATTTCTCAAAATTAATTTTTCTGTTTTCCGATTTTTTAAACTTTCCGTAAGTTATGCTATTTTACAATTATGTATTATATTTTTCAATTTAACAATTTTTAAAATTTTTAGTCTCTCAATTTTGTACTTGTTGATTTTTCTGATGTTTCAATTTCTCGATTTCTTAATTGCGACTTTTTCAAGTTTTTGATTTTCATTTGATTTACAATTTTTAAACTTTTGATTTTTTAAATTTTTAGAATTTTCAGATTTTGAATTATTCCACGTTTGACTTTCTAGATTTTTAATTTTTCAATTTTTCTATTATTTTATTCCAATTTTTCTGCTCTCGAATTTAAATTTTGCTAAATTTTCAACTTTTCAAAACGAATTTTGTTATTTCTCGATTTTTAAAATTTGCCTTCCTTGCGATTTTTGCAAATATTAGAATTTTCAATTTTACAATTTTAATTTTTTCAGTTTCTCAATTTAAACTACGCGATTTTTCTGTTTTTTCAATTTTTCGGTTTTTAAATGTTCTATTTTTGATTTTTAATTTTACATTTTTTAGATTTCTCAATTTTTCAATTTTTGATTTTACAGTATTTTAGATTTCTTAATTTTTTTTCTATTATTTGCAACTTTGCTAGTTATCAATACCAATTTTGATTTTTTCAATGTTTCGATTTTCTTTGAACTCTGAGTTTCTGGATTGAAAATGTTTCGATTTTTCAGTTATTTTGTTGTGATTTTTCTAATTTTCTCTTTTTAAATGTTGTAATTTTAAAATTTTTAGACTTTTCAATTTCCCGATTTTGAATCTTACTGTTTTTAGTTTTTCGATTTTGATTTTCCATCTTTTCCTTTGAAGAATTTTTAAGTTTTTTAAGTTTACCATTTTTACCACGCATTTTTTGCTTTTTCTAATTTTGACTTTCCTGTTTTTCGATTTACAATTTTTTTGTCTTACAATTTTTCGATTTTTTAATTTTGCAGTTTTTAGAATATGTAAAGATTGGTTAATTTTTCACTTTTTCGATTTTACAACTTTTACATTTTTCAATTTTTCTCAATTTTCTTATTTGTAATGTTTGAATTTTACGATTTATCTGTTTTATAGTTTTTAGATTTGTCAGTTTTCAATTTTTGCGAATTTACAATTTTAGATTTTGCAATTTTTCAAATTTTAGATTTCTAAATATTATGATCATTCCTTTTTACTTCCCGAGCGTAAGCAAAGGAAGTATTGTAATCGAGTCCGTCGGCCGACTCTCTACTTTTACGTTTTCTCGATCTTTTATGACCCCTAGAAGACGAAGAAATAGGTCTCCCATTTCCGTCTGTCTGTCCGTCCGTCTGTCCGTCCGTCTGTCCGTCCGTCTGTCCGTCTGTTGTCCCGGATTTTATTAGACAGATAATCTCCGAAAGTACTCGACCGATTGTTGTGAAATTTTGTACTTATATTAAGAATATCATGTAGATGGTAAAACGCTAACAAAAATTTGTCTAATCATCCCCACCACTAATGCGATGACGTCACTTCAAAATTGTACATAGTAAATGGGTTTTCAATTGTATAAAATAACATAGTCCTACACATGTAGTTTACAACTCTGAATCGACTTTTCACCCGAAACGTCCAGATTTTTGGAAAAAAAATCAAAATTATAAAACAACATTTTGAAATTTAATTTTTAATCTGCTAACCAGAATACTTTGAAATGTTGCAGATGTTTTAAGGCTATAAAGAGCATCATAAATCTTTAGTCAAAAAATATTTGCTTATCCCCTCCAAAAACTTGATGACGTCAGCTCAAAAGTTTGTGGAATAAATCATATCTAAAATGTACAAAATATGATGAGTCTGTACTTGTGATCTATCACTCCATTCATATTTTTTGGAATTGCATATACAGGGTGACTCAAAAAAATTAATGAATGCGTAAATATATTTTATTGATTTAATCAGGAACTACAAAACCGAATGCTTTGAAATCTTGCAGATGTTTTAAGGTTATAAAGAGCATAATAAATGTTTAGTCAAAATATATTTGCTTATCCCCTCCAAAAAATTAATGACGTCAGCTCGAAAGTTTGCCGAATAAATCCTATCTAAACTGTAAAAATATGATGAGTCTGTACTTGTAATTTATCACTCCATTCATATTTTTTGGATTTGCATATACAGGGTGACTCAAAAAAATTAATGAATGCGTACATTTATTTTTTTGATTTAATCATGAACTGCAAAACCGAATGCTTTGAAATCTTGCAGATGTTTTAAGGTTATAAAGAGCATAATAAATGTTTAGTCAAAATACATTTGCTTATCCCCTCCAAAAAATTGATGACGTCAGCTCGAAAGTTTGCCGAATAAATCCTATCTAAACTGTACAAAATATGATGAGTCTGTACTTGTGATTTATCACTCCATTGATTTTTTTTGGATTTGCATATACAGGGTGACTCAAAAAAATTAATGAATGCGTAAATTTATTTTATTGATTTACTCAGGAACTACAAAACCGAATTCTTTGAAATCCACTGCGAAAAAAAAACATAATAGATATGCAGTCGTCACGTTTCCGACAGCGAGGGAAGTACTGTCTAAACTCTTTAGACCAATTTTTTTCTTTCATAATGAAATTTTTAAATTCTTCAAGTTTGGAATTTTTTGATTATTTAATTTTTTAATTTTTTCAAGTTTCAATTTTTTCCATTTTTGACTTTTTACGATGTTTTAAGCTTTTTGAATTTTACTTTTTATCGATTTTTTAAATTTTTTGATTTTTCAGTTTTTCGAATTGCAATTTTTGAATTTTTTCTTTTATTAGCAATTTTTTACATTTCTTCAAATTTAAAATTTTAACATTTTTCCATTTTTTAAAATTTATATCTCTCATTTTTCAAATTTTTGATTTTTCACTTTAGATTTTTCAATTTTTGAGTTCCTTGATTTTTAATTTATCGAATTCAAAATTTAAATTTTACAGTTTATCGATTTCTCATTTTTCAATTTCTCGGCATTTCGATTTTTTAGTTTGACAATTTTGAAATTTTTAATTTGCTTTTATAGCTTTTGAATTTTTCCATTTTTTTTTTCAGTTTTTCGAATGTACGGTTTTAGAAACGTTAATTTTTCGTTTTTTAATACTTCGATTTTCCATTTTTTCATTTTTTACTTTGGGATTTTTCGTTAGTTTTTCAAAATTTTCACTTTTTTACATTTTTTAGAGTAATCATTCAACAATTTTTCAAATTATTATAAACTCAATTTTTCGATTTTACAACTTTTGTATTTTTCAATTTTTCGTTTCTCCAATTTTCCGACTTGCAATTTGAAAATTTTTCAGTTGGTTAAAATTGCGATTTTCATTTTTTTTTATTTTAAAATTTTTCTGTTATTTTTGGATTTATCTGTTTTGTAGTTTTTAGATTTTTCAAGCTGTCAGTTTTCCGAATTTACAATTTTAGTTCGGATATTTCGATCACTCATTTTTGCTTTCATAATGAATTTTTTAGATTTAGAAGTTTGGAATTTTCTGGTTTTTTAATTTTTCATTTTTTCAATTTTTCAACTTTCAACTTTTTCCATTTTTGACTTCCCTGATTTTTCAGTTACATATTTAACTGCAATTTTCTAGTATTAAATTAAAAATTGTTACATTTTTTAAAATTAAATTTTTCCATTTTCTGATTTTTTAACTTTTCCCATATCAAATTTTGCGATTTTGCAATTTTTAGATTTTTCAATTTCGCAGATTTGAAAATTTTTTATTTTTCGAAGTCATTTAGCAATTTTTCGATTTTTAATTTTTCTATTTTTCAAAATGAATTTTTCTGTTTTCTGATTTTTTAAATTTTCCGTACGTTTGGCAATTTTACAATT